AGCAGTCAAATATTAGCCAGCCACAACAAATCGTTTTGATTTAACAGCTCTTGATGGCTTGTTTCACGAATCGTTGCTGGAATATCCATCACAACATATTATGGGCTCGATTTCTATCGACTTGCCCCTTATATGCGGAAAGGTGAATGTCAGAAGACCATCATAAGAATTTATAACGTATAAGACGTCAGGGTTTATCTCATAAAATTTATTAAGCAGTCTAGCTCATCATCAAATTATGTAACTTAATCAGCAAATTAAACCGACTCGTTGTCGAATAAGGGTCAATTAAGATCACAACGATTTCAATTGGCTGACTAATCGCTGGACGTCCAATGTAGAGAAGATATTAGAAGTGAAGGAAATGGAAACAGGCGTGGAACGTAGGGAGAGGATGACGACGCAGAATGACACGATAAGAAAAAAATATATATTTACCTATAGCAGCAAACAGATAAGGCAAAAATAAAGAGCAAGCAATAAACTCTTTATAATATTAATAAATCAACCAGCAGTTTAATTCAAGCTATATGTTTCCAATCCTTAAGGCGTGCCTTTCAAATAATAAACCATATTTTATTGACGATAACTTCCTTATCGATCCTCAGCCCATTCGTTTTCTTTACGAATCTGTTCCTCTTCCTCTGGAGTAAAGTCATTTTGAATATTAAACGTTTCCCGAATCTGTTCCGGTGTTTTCCCCTTGATCATATTGGCGACAGTTTTACAGCCGATATCACTAACGACACCAAGCAAAAAAAAGACAACGATTTGACTAGTGTGAATAAAAAGCACAATAAAAAATTTCAATACACGTTTCATTTGCACAATGCGCTTACAGAAGTTGTTTGATATCCAGGTAATTTGCGGCCTAAATTAAAAAGGGAGGAGTCATTTTCGATTTCGATTTTTGTTTTACGATTAGACGTCCGAGGTCGTCTTATAAATGCTCGATGCAAACGATGGAAGTAATACTAAGTGATCGTTACCAAAATAATCTCGAACAGCATATCCTGTTCCACTTCAAGAAATTTCTTATTCCAATCATCGATTTCAGTATTCCTCCTGCGGGTGTCGCTGTCCTCGATGGCTGGTTGAGGATCATCCTTATGGTGTTCACACCATTCAAGAACCTGTCAAAGAAATAGATTGACATATAAAGGGAAAAGATGCGTGCGTTTAATATATATGTTTCCATTAATTCGTCCTTGGGTTAATATTCAGATGATCGATACAAACTACTCAGTATCATAGTCAATAATCAATTAAATCACCTTCTTTAAAACTCTTTCGTTAACATTAGGCAAGGGAATCGATTGGTCGGTTTCACCGACATCTATGACAGACAAATAAATACGCGTAGTAAGTGAAGTGGACATCATATTTCTAAAGATTATACAGTTATCCCTATTAGCACTTCTCCGTCGGGAAAGGGGATAGGGTCCAGGCGCACTATTCTATTTAACAGTGGAGTGACTAACTCTGTATACAATCGTAAGCAGGTAAAAATTTGCTACATACCCTCGATCATATTTTTGAGCAAGATGGAGCGACTTGCAACTCGTATGTCAACTTTGAACTCGATATCATCGCAGCTCTTTAAAGTGATTTTCTTTGCTTCACTGGCGCTCATATTATATTTGCTATAGAGATTGTCGAGATTGTTCGGAGAGGAAGAGAAAATAGGTGTTGAAAACCAGCCACACAGCGCTAATGTTTGAAGGACTTACCAATGATATACGGAGTTTTTGCAATCAACCATAACAATAGGAAATTCTCTGGACCACTGTTGTGTGACGCACGTGATATAAATCGACTTTTGAGTATGCAGAAAGAATGTTCGTGGTTGAGTCTTGCAAGGGTCTTTACGAATGTATGACTAGTGCCATGGTCTATGTCAAGTTATTTATACAATAGTGTTCGATTCTTTAAATGAAGCTTTTATTTGTTATGTCACTGACGCAATGGCTCAATGTGTATAAGCGTGTGTTCCACCGCTTCAAGTTGCCCGCTCAGAGTATGTATTATATATATCTACAAACTTTCATTGTTCCAATTCCAAAAGCATGATTGACTCTGCAAGAAAAATTTCAAAGACTAACCAAAAAGTACAATAAACAATTGATAAAGTGCTGGCCAATAACAACGGACAGATCCCGTCTCCCGGTTCTTCCGAGATACTTAAGTATCTCACTTGCCAAAAGTATAGGTAATTTTGCTGATCAATTTATTTATATTATGCTATTACTATTAACATACTTGTGTGGAAATTCCCCCAACAGTCTAGACGATGAGGCATACTATCTAAACTTGTCGCTTTAAATCTACGCTGCAAACAGTTCTCCGATCTGGACTTTGTGGAGAGATAGTAATAATCATCATTGCCTTTACAAGCTGGCACAATACTCTCTATAAACGTCTATAACTGATTGTTTCTCTGATAACACTGTTTGTTCTATTCCCAACTCTTATCAATGCCGCGGCTACAACTCGCGTTATGCTTTTATTGCTTTCCGTCATTTACAAGAATCGTTTGCGAATAACCTATTTTGTAAAAGCATTGCCATGCCTTACCAGCTTTGGCAAAGTGTCGTTTATTTCGGTGAACAATACAACCATTCTCATCGGGTTAAAATAAGCATATTAGGCCCGTTTACCTTTTTCTCATCGAATTATTGTATACAGCCTTCTACTTATATATTAATTGTATCATTCTTCAATTGTTTTTGCACGCCAAATGAGCAATAATTGACTCTTTTTTTTTTAAATGCTGGTCGCAAAATAGTACGCGTCCAACTGTTTTAACGTTGCTCAATGACGTTCTAAAGCTTTTAAAGTTTGAGCATTATACGTAATTATAAAATTTTAAGGATGAATACTCTCGGCACGTGAGGTATTTTATCTCCATAAACAGGCAACTGGGGTTTTCTGAAACCAACACTCGGAAATTTACCCCGGCTTTTTGTACAACATGCTATTCCCATGCTTTGTAGAACTGGCGAACTACGCAAACATCTTGTCTTTATTTGGAGGTAGAAAATAAGAATTGTATATAACAAAGACAAAGCTACATTGCGAATGCAACAATATTAACACGGGCAAAAGGCATAAAATACTGAAATTTAAAAGTTTGAAAAACAATGAGTTTTTGTCATTTTGTATTGTATGCGTAATTGTTGTTTATGAAACTTATGCACGCATTAGACTTGGTTACAATGTTAAGCAATTGTCTTATGGAGTTAAAAGGTATTTGCTGGTTATGATATTGTTCAGAAAGTAATTAATGCTATTCTTCGGGTTAGGGGAAGATTTTAACGAGTTTCAGCGTGTTGAAATTTTACTCTAGCAAAAATAGGTATCACGGCAGTTAATTAATACTGTGTTTAATGTTAAAGCATTTATTGCTTATAATCCGGTTATGAAGTATACGCCACAGCATTTTTATATTTCCCGTTGGACTCTTTTCTTCGGCCCAATATTATAAAATTTTGTTAAAGCATTCAATTAGTTATGTTGGGCTAATATGATTTTTACAAAAATCTGTAGCTTTCCAAATGTATAATTCTGGCGTCAGGAAAGTGTCTACGCCACTATATTATTACTTTAATTGGCTGCATTCATTTGAAGCATCATTTAATTTCAATAGCTCTGTCTTAACTCGTAACTCACGCTGAAATTACCCAGCTATTGCTTTCAGTCAGTTTAAGGCATATGTAAACAATATTGTCACAAAATTGTTCTTATGAGAAATATGATAAAAATCTTGTGAATCACAAGTCTTCCGTAAATTCATAATTTTTTTCCCACGCCGCATGGGCATGGTTAGAGTTTTTGACAGAAATAGAAACAACAATAACAAAAACGATAAATAATAATAATTATTATTATTACTATTATTTAACCGTTAGCCGATGCCGTCACACAATAACTCTAAAGTGTACTTATAACTCTTGGATAGATCTAACTAACAAATGATCTCGATATGTAAAAAACAAAATCGTATACTCTAAAATCGGGGTCTAATAGTTCGATGAACAATTTGAGCCTCTTGGATATTAATAAAAATAAACAGTAGAGTAACTATATGTATCGATAAACTCTGGCAATAAAATAATTGAGAAAGTTTATTTGGCCGTAGTTCTAAATTTTACTTGTATTACAGGAGGCCTTGGTGTTTGGGATTTTTGAATTGTCTATCGAGCAAATACTAGTCACTTGTTATACATTAATTTGTAAATTCGCTTTCATAATACACTTTAATTGTAGGTTTGGCGATATCTGAAAAATAATGTATATCTCCTTGTATCTTAAACAATGGTAGGTAAGCTACACTTATTCAACGTAATTAATCGGTTGAGATCCCATCACACGATGATTAGTGAATTATTAAAGATAAATCAATATTGATTACTATTTATTATAATATCCGAATAATTACTTTCGTTACACTTATTAATTAAGACTCATTAGGAACATAAAACGATACCACGAATTAGTAAAAAATTATAGTAGGTAATCCGCTAATTTGTTCAATCCGCCAAGCTTATCGACAGTAATAGTAACAATGCAATAGCGTTTGTTTGTTAAGCGTGTTCAGAAATATCGCTTTGGCTGGTTATAGCAGAGTGTTGCAGATATCGATGGCATTAATCGAGTTCCATCATCGTCACGAGATATGACTGGTGTCACGTGTTTGAATTGAGTAGCGTGATATTTTATTTACTGTTACCATATTTATTATAATTTATTTATTATTTATTTATTTAAATATGCATCTCATAACAATAATAAGCAAAATTACCATTAGTAATAATGTTTGTACCACCTAATAATTTCTGTTAAACAATTTTTCATATAGGTGGCTTGGAACTTCAAACATTATCATAATTAACTGTTAATAACCTCCCACATATTCTCCACAAACACTACACATATTCTCTTACCACTTCAACAATTACCCACTCCACTCACTCGAATCTACGATGTACACAGATTCAAAAATGTCAATAAACTTACCGAATAATTCTCTTTCACTTCCTATACCTCACTTATCTACTACACAGAACAAAGACCACACAAAAGAGGACACTCCCTCACATGCTACAAAGAGAGGAAGAAAAGAGTCAGCAATATGGGGGGAATTTGAGAGAGGAGAGAAGATAAACTCGGCGCACTATCAGGCTTTCTGTCTCCACTGCAGACGAGCGACTGGCACTGCGAAAGGCATAGGCGGCACCCCATACACCATGCGAAGACACTTACTAGCTTGTTTGCATGTACCGTTAGATGTCAAGTCAAAATACGAGTTACCGTCAGACGTCGCTACGGACCCCTCCTTCACGTTCAAACCCAAAACTAATAACAAGAAAAACCAGCATTCCTCAGTTATAAGCACCAGTAGCAATAACACCACTAACAATAGTAAGATTAATAATAATCCTAATAATAATTCAGCCCAACAACCAGCTAGTTCTAAAGTAGATGCATCTCATGTGATCGATGGTATCGGGGCGACTTTAGCTTATCCTAACAATACATTACATAGTCCGACGAAGCGTCGTAAAACGGTTACTTCGATATCCAGAAGTCACGAAAATCTCAGCAACTCATCAAATCAACTAAACCAGGAGAAAGCTATCCTTGACAGGCAGGTGTTACGAACGTTATTAGCCACTGGTAGTGACTTTTCGTGGGTGGAGAATGCAGAATCTGTTGCTCTTGTTCGGCTTCTTCGATCAACATATAAACTCCCATCGAGTAGAGCTCTGTCGCATGAAATATTGGACACTGAATACAGCATTGTGAAACAGGAAATAGATCGTACTATAAATGAGGCTACGTACATAACCATTGCAACTGATGGATGGAACAGTCAACGACCAAGCGATTTTGTAAATTTCTTGGTTATCAACCAGAGTAGAAATGCCGAATTGTATGATGTATTAGATATTAGCAACGAGCGCCATCAAACTGAGAAAATAGTTTCGCATATTGAAGAGATTTCTTGCAACATTGGAGTGGAGAAGGTGGCGGCTATTATATTTGATAACGGAGGAAACCATTCACGAGTACAGAAACCGCTCAATGACAAAAATCCGAGAGTACTAGTATTTCCTTGTATGGCTCATCAAACAAATTTGTTAATAGCTTACATCCTCAATGCGGCATTCAAGACCGTAGTAGAAAACATTATTCCAGTGGTTGATTTCTTCAGATCATACTCGAATCCAATGGATATGCTTCGCCAAATCAGCAGTCTTCCGGATCTCGTACTTCCTCGGCCGTATCTGTCTAACTGGGAATCATTCTATCACTGTGCCAATACGCTTCACTTGGTACAAGCCAGTTTTATGACATTGGCTAATCATCCGGCTGCGTTTAGCACTCAGAATAAGATTGGCGCCACCGTACTAAGATTTATTAAAAGCGACGAATTCTGGAGCGAATTAAATTTATTCTGTACTATCATGCAACCTTATGCCAAGATTGTTGACGTTTTCCAGTCACCCGGATGTTCCATTAGTGAGGTGATGGTCTATTGGATTATCTTGTATTCCAGGATTCAACAGATGCATATTGTTCCCGAGTTACAGCAGAGGTTACTGAGATTCATGAACAAGAGATGGTCTTATGTGGATCAATCGTACTTCCTGGCCACTTGGCTACTGCATCCATATCATCGCGGTAATGGAATAATTAAGAATCGGATTAACGATATAATTGAAAGAACTCTACATTTTTACAAGAAGATAATGGGAGTGGACGATCAGGAATATGAGAGCGCATTCGTTGACCAGTTACTTAATTTCGTCTACAAAGAGCGTGATTTTGCAAGGGCCTTTCTTACAAAGGATTCGTTGACACGAAACCCGTTGAGATTCTGGTCAGTAGTAGCAGACGTAGCACCTCAATTGTCTGCATTTGCTACACGATTATTTTCTATCCCTCCGAGTGCAGTCAGCCCTGAGCGAGCATGGTCAGTAGTCAATGGGAGACAGAGCAACGTTGCTGGTCTATTAGACAGATCCGGAAGTAAATTTTCTGCCGATAAGATTACTAAAATGCAGACGATTAATTGGCATCTGAAGCAACAGGGGATGCCTTCGAGTGTAACGTCGGGTGTTAATTCTAGTTCTAATATTAGTTCTCCGACGAGTGCTAACTCTGCCTCAGATAGTGCAATGAAAAATAACACTGGTTCATCGTTAGTTTCCGTTGTTAATTCGTGGGACGATCAAGGTCCTATTGAAGAGGAATTCTTGGATAATTTCAATTCTATGTTGACATCGGCTGGTAACGAAGACGATTTAACTGGTGCGGTATCATTAATGAGTATTGGAGAGAGTCAACCATTGGATGAAATTGCAGTTATATTTGATTTAAATGTACTAGAGGAATTCATGTTAACACGGTGAGATTTTCGGTGTGGCAACTTCTGCGAAGTTACCGCTGATGGTCATCAGGTGGCTATTTTTGTATATGTTGTATTCGTTATACTTGTTGAATCTTTCATGACCCTTGTATTATATATTGGCAAATGCTTACGCATTAGATACGTGTTTATTTGATATCAATGACTGTATTGTAATGGATTCGCAATAGACTTCTATTGGCGTTTTTTGTTCATACCAATATTTTTGGTGTAGATAACAATCTGTCAGTCATAACAAGGATCTAAATAAATACGATATTGGAGTGACATATAACGAATTAGAATTAATGTGCCTCAGCCGATCCTCGAGAATATATGTATAGAGGGGCGGGCATAAAACAGATAGCTTTGAGAGGGATTTATGCGCCAAAGTGATTGGCGATCGTTTTCCAGACGAACAGCATGTTTCGCTGCCCTTGCATTCAATTTCTTTCATTAAACGAAATAAATTGTATTTTAGACTATTTTAATTAGCAAATAAAAACGTATATTACAAGGGTTGCGAATAACTGAGTACTTGTGTTGTGATATTGTTATATCGGATAATTTCATTTCGACGACGTGATGAGCTGTGACACAAATTCTAAATGACTTGGTATTCATTCCAATCATCTCCGAAAGTTCAGACAATTTCTACTCTAAAAAACCCCCCTCCTATGGCGACTGGTAACCAGAACTTGCATTAAATTTGCTGAATATTCCGCCGTGTGGTCTGAAACACCATCAGGTTACAAGCAGGAAATATTGCAAATTAAATCTATTTACCGAATGACTAATTACCATTTTTGGTTCTCACTCTTGTTACCCAACACGATGCAGAATGTTTGTTTCAGTCAGTAATAGTAATAAAAACTCGCCATGATCACATGATGGAATACTTAATAATGTCGCACAAATTATACAGTACGACTACTTAAGATTTATTACAAGTACCGGCGTTTTCAATTCAGTTCACAAAAAAGAAGTAATCAAATCTCGAATGAATAATGACAATGCCAAGAAATAATTAGACGATCAGTAGGTAATGGTAGTAATGCCAGTGTTACCATACCATGCGTTATGTTAATGATCGCCTACCTTTTGATGTTGCATCTTCAGAATTGGGATTCTCTAACAAAACTTACTAATACTGGTTTAGTTTCAAATAGTAATACAAACCGACTGCTTATATGATAATTTGGTACAGCAATAATTCTAATGATTGAAGAAAATTTTCTAAATAACTACGAATTTGTACAATACCCTGATTAACATGTATTGTAGGCTCCAAGTTATTTGTTACTCCAAACATAACTAATTAATTAAAATTTATTTTATAGCTTACACTCCAATGGAATGTCCGTTTGTTTTAATTAAAGCCAAATTTTTTTACTTCGGAAAATAAGACAAAGAATACATACTGTATGCGTTGCGGTTCTACGTTCGGTATATGCTGATTCATAACAATTATAATTACTTATAAAATCTCTTGTGCCAACGCCAATATTAGAAGCGTAAAATTACAAGCCAATTTACTTACTCTCCTGCGGTAATTATTTGCTAGTTACCAACGTTTGCTTAAACTTGCCATTTTTACCACAAGTATATGAAACGTTCCATATGATGCCTAACCTGATTTTACAAGTGTCTTTACTAAGTAATAGTCTTGTGTTTACACTTAACTTCAGTTTATGTTTTTGCGCTTTAATTATTATAATTATAACTGTTCTTTTATTCGATGCGAATTATCTCAATGCAATGTACTGCAATATACAATATATCGGTGTGCCGATAGGTTGTAGCTAGGATAACAGTGGCTTTGTTGCGCGATTAATCATTGTCTGAATTACTAATCACAAAATAATAATTATCTATTTACGCTATTATTATTTATTTATTTTTTTTGGTAAATGGTCATTAATGAATTTCAAACTTATTGTTTTCGATTTATGCAATCAATTTGGACTGACAGAAGCATGGAATATTCTCAATAATATAGCATCTGTAATTATTGGCAAATAAGTATTTTTCTACCAGATGAAATAGGGACGTTGTTTAGAATCAAGAAATTTCTTTTTCTATCAAAAGTGTGTGTGTATTCACGTGCTACCGTAAAGCAAAAAGTATTAGTAAAGATTTTTCTTTTTGTAATATTGATTGTAACATATCTTTGGGAACTTTTTACAGTCCAAAGTTAACTGCATTTAAATAGTATTAATTGTTATAAAGTTTACTATCAATCTTAACTTCGGACTAGCGAGATATTCAAATTAACGAGTTTTTCTTCATAATCCAAATCTGTTATCGAAAAAATAATTATTCGTTTACACACATTATTGCATTAAGTACCTAATTCTTATTTAGAAAAAGAGTACGAAGAATAAATGCTGTTGTACCCAATGTTAATTATGTGTCTGAGTTCGGACCTGTCTCAGTTCAGAACTCAGAACTCAATTGTCTCAGTCCAGAACTCCTCAACTGAGGTACAACGTTTATTAATTATGTAATAAATAAATCAAATTTCGTACGCTCACTAAACTTATAATATATCCAATTTGCGCATATCAATATACATTATTATTATCTACCAGATTTTGTAGCTAATGACGTCTTATGTATTTTCTCTACAATAAAATAAGTTATAGTGCACTGTTCCGAGGTGAAAAAAACTGTTAATATTCAACTGTCAACTGATGAGATTTTTAATCTTCCGATTAACAAAAAAAACAAACTTTGGATTAACAGAAATCTTCGGCTTAGCAAAAAAACCTTCAGATCAAGGGCTAATATCTCACGACTAGATTCGGGTTACGGATTACAGTAAATTTATTATAAAATTTTGATTAATGAATTGGGACCAGAAATTTCTTCGGTTTAACGAATGATTTGGATTAACGCGATTTGGATTAAAGAGATTGATTGTGTGTTTTTCAGATACACAATTAAGTTTACTGAAGTTTACATACAAGAAAAAAAATTTTTTTATTAAATAATTTGACAATAGTAATAGTAATAGGCCTCTAGTTTTTCCCGGAAAATTTTACGCAAAAAACCGATAGAAGAGGTGGGAGAAACATTCTAATCGGGTTTCCAAGTTTTGATATGTAATTAGAAACAGTAGTTCAACACGACATAGTCAACAATGTCTGACAAAAGGCAATGGCGATAGGAGGCAGTTGTTTTTTTTCTGTTTACAATACCGAACTTAAGCACAATCTCGCAGTAATTTAACTTGCAAGGAAAAAACCTGGTCAACCTGAATAAACAAATGCTTACATCCAATTTTGATTTTAAAGCGTATTTATCCCTAGTAATAGTAAACAAATCGCAAACTTTTTAAATGCTCATAACCTTAAAGACATTTTAGAAATACAAGAATTTCTAGTGTTCCTGCCAACCTTCCTTCGGAAAATAAATCATAACGATAATATTGAGAGAATATCAGTTATATATATAGTTAAGAATTTTTCCTCAAATTGAGATCAAAATAAACTGCTCATTCCTTTGAAGCACTCTTTTACTTTTATACAGAGTCTAAGCTTCTTTTTTTCCTGTCAATTCTGAAAAGATATATAGCATTCCTCTTTTGTATACCCTTAACCCTTGAGAGTGCTTGTGCAAATTTCAGCATATGGAATCTTCCCTTTGTTTATTCTGGGAGATAAAAAATTTATAACATGACCATAAGGTAAATGTGAAATAATGCATGTTATGGCAGCTGGTTTTATCTGAGGTTAATTAAATGTGTTTAATTCCGGACTTTCTCTTATACTGTTCTTACAATTATAATTTACCAGTTTCTTTACTTTGCAATCTTAATCTTCTTGGGATGACAAATTGCAAGAATGTCCTAAAGTGACGATCACTTTCAATGATTCTTCAAATACCTCAACTCATCAATAATGGTGCATTTAAACAGTGCATCAGTTCTTCAGCAACTCTCAGCTCTTTGTGGATTTCTCTACAATTTGCTTTTGCAGCTTGATCATTACAAGATATTGTCATGCTGAAGAGGGAGAGCAATTAGTTAGCTGACCTTGAAGATTTAGTCCCATACTCGGCCTTAACTTTGAAAAACCTTCTCTTAATAGTTGGTGCCTGTTGTCAGAATTTCCAGCTCAAGTAATAAATACATTCTTGTCACATGCTTCTCATTTGGAGCATGCTGCAACAAAACCAGACAAAGTGAACATTTTATCATGTGACATAAATGAGAGGCTGTATGATGTGGCTGTAAAATTGACCAGTGTGACTGATGACATTTTGAAAAGTAATAATGGTGCTCATTCATAAATTATGGACTTGTTAATTTTTAATGTTCACTTTATCATACCAGAACGTGATGAATATAGGATTATCCCTATATAAAAAAATATTAATATGAAATTAATTTACATTAAATCTACTATGGAACCCAAGAATTACAGCACTATTAGAAGTATTTTAAAGAAAGCTCAAGGAGAAAAAATTGCTCCGTATGTTTTTAAAATTAGTGATACCCAAACTCTCCAGGAATATTTAGATAAAGAAAAAATCACTTATGAAATTTACCAAGAAGAGCGAAAAATAATAAACCATAAACAAACATTAACCCCAACCTATAATGAACCAAGAAAAAAATGAAAACTTGAAGAATAAAATAATAATCTGGATTTTAATGCAAGTAAAAGTTTAAAATTCTCATCTTTGATAACATTGATTACTAGTGAGCTTTTTTCCTTCTTAGGTAGCTGGAATTAATTATAGAAAAGATATTTTATTTGTGTTTTTTTTTTCTTTCTTTTTCTAATTGTTGCTGAGTTGATTCAACTGTTGCTCAACTTGGGCTAAATTTTCTTTTAACTGTGTTAATTCTTGGGTCTTGTTTTTATTTTGTTTATTTCAGACTTTGGCATATTCTTTGGGATTGTTGATTTTTTCTGCTATTCGTTCATTTTCCATGGTACCAACTGGCTGGTTATTTCAAACAGGTCTGCCTTCATTTGGCATCAATCATCTTTCCATTTTGTATTTAGGAAAGAAAGTAAAGCATAAATTATGATGTTTCTGTGGAGCTCCTTTTTCTTGCTCTACAAGTTTACCTGCTTGTCCTAAATTACAACCAATACCAATAAAAAAGTTATGATAATTAATCTTAGTTTCATATTTTTTATATTTTTTTTAATTCTTTAAGAATTTCACCTATTTGATTTCATGTCTCTTGGTCTATGTTATTGATATTAGGAGACAATTGTGCTTTAGTAAGAATAACTGCATAGCCAGAAAATTTATCATTACTTAATTTAGCAAGTACCTTGCTTCGCTCAGCAATAATATTATCTTTGTTTGGTGAAAGAGCTTCGTTAATTTCTTTTTCTTTTTCAGGAGTCGCTGGCTTGTAATGTTCTTTAATTCCTGTGCTTCCTTTGTCTATTACACCATATTTGGGCACTACTCGCATATAAAAATGTATTTGCCAACAGAAATATTTAATCAATACCCTACTGGATTGTAAACTTAGCTTTAAAACTGGTAAAACATCAGCTCATTCTTGCTCTGTCAGAGTCCGCAGTGGCGTTTGGTAACTATTACGGTGTGAGCTTTGGAATTGGCCGTGGATTAACAGAGGCAAGCATTGTTCCATGAGCAGAAATAAGACTTTTCAACTGACCTTTTTCATAAAGGAAGCATTGTTTAATACAAGCCATGCAGTCTTTTACCATAATATTAAATTTTACAACCATGACAAATTATTAGTTATAATTGTGTACAATTTTATTCAAAACCATTTTGTACTGGCTGTGGACAAGTAATGTCTTTAAATTCATCTCTGACAAATGGACGAATATTGTGATAAAAATATTCTTGTCTTTTGTAATTCCAATGGTGGAGGAGTTAGTATTAAAATGGATAAAGATTTAATTTCTTGGATAATTTCAGAAACACTTGCTTTTCTAGTTTTTAACAAATTAAATTCAGTATAGGCACCATGGCAACCATCTGGGCTTTGACAATTCCAGGATTAGTTGCTTCAAAAACAAAATGCTGATATTTTTGCAAACTACTCAATTTCTTAAAGAAAATCCCCAACACAGAATTAAGATCTAAGTATTGAAAGCCTTTGCCATTTTCGTAGCGCTGAGCTTTGTTTAATCCTGCTGTTCTCGATTTTTTCACAACTTCAACAATATACAAGGTCAACCCCGATAACCGAAACCCGATAAACCGAAAACCCCGTTAGACCGAACCTTTTTTGAAATCCGCACTTTAGCCTATTAAAATTACCCCGACAAACCGAAGTTACTATTAAACCTCCATAAACTGTTAACCGAAGATTATATCAAACTTTACCCCGATAATCTGAATAAATAATGTAACACTTTATTTAAGCCAATAATATTGTCGACCTTTGTAAACCCCGATATTTCAGCCAATTATATTTGTCTATAAAAATTGCTTTGCAAGAATTCGATCGAACAAAGACAAAACGTTCTACAACATCACCTAAAAGAAACCATACAGCAATTAAGCTTGCTCAAAAAATTGAAATTTGCAATATAAAATCAACAAATCCAACAATAAAAAACGTCGAGCACTTACCCCGTTTATCCGAATGTATGGTTTCCCTGAATATAAACTTCGGTTTATAGAGCAAACCCGCTAATCCGAAGAAAAACGGCTGCACCGACATCTTCGGTTGACCTTGTAGTTTCTTAATCAGTCCAAAACTACCATCACACTTGAATTTAGTGTGTCTAGGTACCATAAAATTTAATTCGATACTTTCATAATAACCGCAAATTATTAAAATCAAATAGTGGCGTTATTTTTATTCTGACCACCCGCGTTATCACAAATAATCTTTGCTAATATTGTCTGATCATGTGATCGTCCCGTCATATTGGGGGAAGCGCGTTAAAGACACACACGACACGCTCATTAGCGCATCTTTCACGACGTGCATATTTTCAAGGAAAGTATATGGTTTATTATCTAGTGTTAGCCGCGCGTAAACCTACTGGCGTATGGCCATTATGTCCTGCGTCAGATGCTTGGCGGTGGTCTCCGGGATCGTCCTTTAGCATGCGTGCTAAAGGCCTTGACTCCTGCATGCTACTGTCCAGATTGCGTTACGTATACCTACTGGCATATGGCCATTACGTCCTGTGTCAGATGCTTGGGAACAGTCTCCGGGATCGTCCTTTAGCATGCGTGCTAAAGGCCTTGACTCCTGCATGCTGTTTTCCAGTATACAGTTGGCTATCCTTGTGCTTCTATCTAGGATTCGTAGCACACTAGAAGTTCAGAAACTTACTTGTTTCTTCATACTGTAGATGCTTCAAGCAATTGTGCACGATTACCTCAACAGCGTGAAATATACGGATTGGTCAATCGTTTCAATATTGGAGAATATAGCATCAGAGCAGAACCTGTATGCTGATATGTTGGACGATGTAAAAGGCGACATATATGATGTACTCCATGGCTACCACCATAGGCAAAACATCAATCGGAATGCTAAGACAAGGGTGTCAAAATTATTATCTACATATGATACAAGTTTTAAGACTGCTGAAGTGTTGCGATTCAAGGATAAATTGCGATGGAAAGCGGAAGAGGAGGAACACAGGGCGGCGTTGAGAATGAAGGCAGCCTCCACTTGTACAATTGAAGATTTAAAGGTGGTCTCAGACAAGTGCATGTAAATACTTTGACCATAGCTTTACTAATAATTATTTCAGGAGTTCCATGCCAGCAAGATCCTTATCAATCAATTGAAAACAAACACGCAAGATTGTATTGATCTCTGCACAGAAAGCTCGTCATTACCAGTAATTGATATTAAATTTATGTATCTGATCGAAGTTCGTACATTTACTTACATATCCTTTTTTGACAGCTCATAAAAGAGAGAAGTGTGGGCAAAGAAGTTCATGGATTAGACTTAGATGATGAGGTAAAACCCTTTTATTTTCCAAATTTTGTGTTGATCATATGTTACAATTTTTCTTTTTGATAGGAGCGGTTTTATAAAAAGCCTAGAAATGTGAGTATTTCTTAATTTAAGAGCGCATGCATTCTAACATTATATCACCTGTATTACTTTTTATTGAAAAATTCCGAATTCTATATTTACAGTGTGATGAACATTCATTCTACGAAAACGACAATCAAGCAAGTTTAGAACCTAGTGGTCAAACACGTGTTGTTCCAGTTATTCACGATGGCTTTTTTGTGGTTTGACTAGAATGAAATCGCGGAACAATTCAATGCTGAACCGACGGGCGTTGACGATGGTGACCAATTTGGTGAATGGATACTTTCAACTGGCAAGAACGTTTCTCGAATTCTGAAGGAGTTCAGAACAAAAATCCCAAAAACTAAGGCTTTTCTCTAGTTAGTGTCTTGTGATTCCATAAGGACTATACTATCTCACTCCTTAATGTATTCATATTTCTTTGATAGTCCTACTTTTTTTGGTATATTAGATCTGTCCGGCGAGGACACTGAAGTCAAGGAATTGTTTACGGACGAGGAATGGTGTGAGATGATATCTGATTTCAGTAAAACGGTAACGTTCCATGACATTAACGAGCAGGAGGAAAAGCTACTGTACAATCTGCTCGACGACATCGAAAAGGTAAACGATCGGAAATTTTTTGTTTACATTACACAATTTGATGTTTATTTACATCTGATTTCGCGTAGGTCTTGGAAACGAAGCCAAATGATTTGGTTACCGAAATCGAAAAATGCATAATCGAGGGTTTTCCGAAGACTAACGTTATACGACGACTTATCCAAACATAGTGAGCTAATTGAACTATAATGCTCTTTTTTTATTTAAATGTGGTGTTAAATATGATTCATTCCATTCGTGAAGTGTGTATAACCTAGAGAGACTGGGCAGCACAACCTCGGAGGCCGCCTTCTGCAACAATTTCATAAGCATGATGACGAAAGGTATCCTGACTTATCAGCAAAAGTTGGTATATGACGAGTGCGTACTGCAGGTTCTCTCTGATCTGTATTTCGACAAGTTTGTGATTACTTCTAATTTATATTTCGTACTTGTAGAGGAGAAATCCAAAGCCTCGCATCGGCTCTGATAGCGAGTTTAAGCAAGAAACCAACTGATAGGTCTCTCATCGGTCAAAAGTGTGACTTCAGAGTTACGGCTGATGGGTTTGAGGCTATTGTTGGACTTAGATCAGGAGGTTTACCCGAAGTGTGCAAAGCAAAGAAATGGGATGATAAGGTCGACCTGATGGTCGCTATGCGTGATGTTATGTTGAAAGAAGCGATTGAATGCAATGGTGTCGATTGTCAAGATTTCAAGAGAATCTATACATTAGGAGTCCATTCGTATGGTAAGCGTTGATTGTTTGAAAAAGTATTTTGTAATGGTCAAATTTGGGCTTCTATTGATATTTACATTATTATACATTCTCTGCATGTTAGGCTTTTATTACAATGTCTATGCAATGGATTGGAGGGCCAAAGGTTTGTGGCGATTAGGCCTACTGAAAAAAACAAAGCTGCCGCAGTCAAACAGACAGTTACTCATGATTGAGAAACTTGTGACAACATTACTGCGAATTGAGGTATTTTTTATTTATTATTTTTTTTTTTTGTCATCTAATTTTTTACTTCTGGGAACCAAAATTTTCTTCTACAGTCTACAGTCGCACACATCGAAAGTATCCGGAACGATTTGGTTATCAAAGCCTCAAGATTGTATAGAGACAGACGCAGTTCAGTCTTTCTTAAACAGTATGCAACTTGTGAAGAAGGACGCATACGACGAATACGTGTTAAAAAACATATTGAAAGGGAGTATCAAACACAGCACACTTTCTAAAACGGAGTGATTAAAATTTGCCAGATGTTGTCATTCACTAATGTCTTCCTCAGTTGGGTCATGGGTGTACGTCATTGCTGCCATTCTCAACTTCTTTTTCGGGTGATAATAATAACGCACACAAGTGAGATTCAAGCAGTGTCTGGAAGCAGAAGTTCATAGTGAATTATCATACATCTCAGATGCAAATGGTACACAAATTGCATGGGCTACATATCTTTTTAAGATAAGAAATACGCCAGAAGTTTTTTCTAGCTTAGTTTGTGATGAAATCTAATATACGTACATGCAATATCGATATTATCGCTATGTTTTTGTATTTCGGAATTTGGCAATTTTAGAAGCTAAAAGCAATGGCAATAAGCATCCCTATAAAATTGGATATCAGGAACCGATTACGGATACTCATTACAGAATACAGCATTCTGGTGGTCTCCTGGTTCAGGAGTTCCGGAACTCGCCAGTGGTACGAATACTAGTGAAAGAACTGTGATAGAAACAGTGACAGAAACAGTGAAAGAACAGCGATAGAAACAGTGATGAAATGCTTCGGTTTATTCAAACGTATACTAAAGGACTATCGATAGAATAATAGAAGTAGCTGCTAAAATAGCTCAATTAGACCGGTCGAAAGATATATAAGCAGTAGGAGTTTCAGCTAGAGTCGGTGTGTTATATTTCGTGTTTCCGTATATCAACCAAGGATAATTGCCTCTTGTCCCGCAATTATCTGAGTGGCAAATTAGGATATTTAATCGTTAGTTTTCGAACGCTTTCAATCTAAGTGATAAACCATTGTACCCCAAACGGGAGATTATCGGATTAATCCCTCGATAATAACCGTCGATACACTCGAGAGCGATTCTATATCTAGGATAAAACGTCATTCTACGGTGAAAAAGTCCGTAAGTGAAAAGCCTTGACGTTGACAAGGTCACTAACTGTACCCAAAGATATTTAACTTGAATAGGAGGCGCCACGCTCCGTCGAGACTAGTTAAATCCCAAGTGTCGATTACTTTCTGCTCT